TGCTCATTAAATACACATATATTTAAATGGATAAAGTAACCCTCTACCAAAGACTTCTGCCAGAGAACATAGACAGTCATGTCCTTGGATGTGAGAAGAAAATAAACCAATTGAAATCACATTTTTAGAATGGTTTTCTCAAAGAGATTTCACCACAAAAATCTTACAAAGCTGGTAAAGTGACATATCTGCCCTCTAACATGATTAGCTTTTGTCATTAAATAAATTAAAGCTATTGCTGCTTGAAAGAACACTAAGATGTGCCAAGGCTGGGGAACATCAACAGGGGAGATGGCAGAGAGGGCTTAAGGCACTTTATTTTTTGGCAACACGCTCCCCAGTCCATGCCCATTCCTCCCCTGCAGAGGAGCCACCACCACAGAGCAGCAGGGAAAGTCTCTTCTCCAAGCTCTTCTCCTGCTACAACCCTCCCAAGATGTTTGATCTCCACAGCTTCCACACTTCTAAACAGAAACACTTCCCAGGCAACACCTCTGCCCCCTTCCCTTCATGCAGCTGAGATCTCAGAACATTCCTCCTCAACTCAGGAACACAGAGAGCAAGGGACACCTCTGATCTCAGCCTCGTCCCTCCTTCCCCCCTCTCACCCTCCTTCCCTTTCAGGACCCGACCCTTTCCTCACACGTGGCTGCCACTGGCATCTGGAAGAGGTTTCCAACTGCACTCCAGCCGGTGTCACAGCTGCATGGGGAGTGCTTCACACCAGAGCCACCATCATGCTCTTCAAGCTGACTTTTGTCCCCAAGCAGCTTCCAAATGCCTTGTCTTCAACTCCAAACTCATCAACAGACAAACTCCAGAGAGTACAGAGCTGCTCCCTCACGTAGTCTGGGAAAACACCACTCAAAATGGAAGTAAGGGAGGAAAGATGGCATTGGCTCCAAACTTCCAGAGGGGATCACAGCAAACCAGAGACCTCGACCCTTCGGTGTACACTGCAGATTTTCACCTGGGCAAAATTATTGGGCACTTTCTCCTCCAGCTCAACTCTTGGTTCACAGAGAGACAACAGAGAACCCCACGCACGCTGTCCTCATCAAGAATCTCGATTAACCAGATCAAGGCAGGCCTGCATCCCGACACTGGGCAAACACTGCCAGAACTCACCCCGGCTTACCACACAGCCTCACACATTCCTCAATGCCATACTGTATTTCTTGCTGTTCTCCCAGGCTTTGGGGAAGCTGCTTGCATCCAGAAGATGCCACCCAACCCAGCAGGAACCAGCACAGCTCTTCCTGAAAGGGACTACAGCACAGTTAGCTGAACAATGCAGGAAAAACTAAAACTAAATTACTCAGGCAATGTTAGCAAAACACACATTTCTTTGCACAGCAGTGATGGAATTCACAGAGGTCAGTCCCCCAAACACTGATTCTTCCTCTCTGCTTCTCAGAAAAGGAATTAACAAGGAGGAAGAAGAGAAAAAAAAATTAGTAACGGTCTGTTGACACCCACCCTGAGCCTGCCACAACCTGCAATAGCCTGAGGAACACCCAGTTTTTCAGAGATGCCCAATCCCATACGGAAGCAGCCACGGGGACAGATTAAAGTCAAGCTTACTGGTACCTGCACATCAACAATCAGGAACACCCTCCAAATGTGAGGAAGTTGGGAAAACAAAACCCTACTGACACCAGCCCTGAGCTGCAGACAGCTCTGATTTGGCTCTGACTGAACAGTGTCACATTAAACAGCAGCTGGGGGATGTCATCCCAGGTGCCATCCATCAACCTGGCTGTCCCTTACAGGCCAATGTTTGCCCACATCTGGGCTGGGAAGAAACTGGTGACCTGATTATATTGATCCACAAAATTTATTCACAGCACAGTGACTTTTGAAAGAACAGCTTAATGTAAGACACACAAAAAAATACCTCATTCCTAAGTGGGAGAGTAAAGAGCAGGGCGGAGTGTGACACGTGTCAGAAGTACCACTGAGGTAAAACCACAAAGGCCCACAGTGCCCTTGCAGCACCTTTGTTACTGCACCTTTTTATGGGAAAAGTCTCACTCCAGACTTCACTGGAACTTCTCCTGCAGAGGCAGTCTGGCAGTCAAAGCCAAGGAGGGCAGTTTGGGATTTACTTTTTATAATATCCCTTCTGTGTGTCATTTCACCGTCACTTGTCCTTTCCACCCAAATAAGGGTCAGACTCCAATTAAAGGATTTATCCATACTGACAACTTTTGAGCACAATTTCTGCCTGAAATCAGGTTTGGCTGAGTACTCACCACCACCAGAGCCACAAATTTTCCCAACTTACTTTTCACAGGAAATTTAACTTCTTGAAGCCACTGTGTTACGGAAATTCCTCACAAGTCTGTCTTGTCTTACAATGGCTCCAATAACTTCCTATTTAGCAGGAAACAGAATGAATCTTACAACCAGACATTTTTGCTCTTCGTGTCCATCACTTTCCAGCTTCTTTTCTCTCAAAAAATATTATTTGCTAAAAAAATTCTTTCTTTCCCCTGTATTTTAATTTTCCTTCCCTCATGCCTTGTTACATGCACATGCTGAACACTTCTCTCTCATACAATTTTTTTTTCCAATTACACAGATATTGTTTAATTTCATGATACAATTAAGTCTGAAACCAAAAGTATTTCTTAAGTTACAAAGTTCACCAGTAAGAAACTGCTTTGGTTTAAAAAGCCCAAGTCAGAGAAACCTGCAACTCTTTTATCTGCTGTGAGGTAACAGTGGCTCAACAGTTGTATCAAAACACAGAGAAAAAAAAGAAACCAAAGAGGGCTAAAAATAAGGCTGAACTCAGATGACCCCCTGCACTCCAGTAAATCAGGGATGAACTCTCCTCCCTGAGCCTCACTCGGAGCAGCACTGAGAGGTAACAGCTTTTGTTTATAATCAAACACAGGTTTTGGTGGAGGATAAAACCAGCCAGGGTACCTGAATAAGCTTCACCAGGACACCCAAATAAGCATCAAAAATAAAGTGTTTGAATATATTGCAAGCACAGATCAGTAGTTCAGGAGTTAACCAGATATCGGTCAAACACAATGTTTTCAAAACAGGCATGTCTAGCAATAAAAATGAAACTGTGTCGTTTTAACCTCCCCACTTTTATAACACCAACTTGTCATACCCATCTAACACTTCTCCCTCCCTCTGTCCCTCCTGCTCACAATGTCCAGTTGGGTCCCCAGGACAGGACTGCCACAGCAGCCCCAGCTCCTCTAGGAGCTTCTCCAGGCTTTCCAAGCCCTTTTTGTTTTTAGGCTGTGCTCAGAGTAAACCCTCCCTTCATCCCCCATGCAACACTCACCAAAAGCAACAGCCACAACAGCACAGCCCCCCGTCCGACCGAGCAGGCTCCCCCCCAGCGACACCCGGAGAAGCACCTCCGGGAATAAAGTGCTTCGGGCAGCCCAGCACCGCCCCAGAGCCAGGCAAACTGCAGCCTTCAACTGCCAAGGCATCCAAGTGCCACCTTCCCGGTAAAAAAGCCCCTTCCCAGCCAAACCAGCACCTTGCTGGAAGATCAGCTGGGCACAGCCCGTGCACGCTGGCCGGCATTCCCACTCCAGCTCTTGGCACATCCCTCAAAACCGAAGCAAATTCTCCCTGAGCAACAGTTTTACTTACCACCACCCCGCTGACTCTACCGACAGCACCTTCCCACTTTTTTTATTCCTAAAGCACCGGCTGGAATTACGGAATACCACAAATCAGGCAAAAATCAGCCAGCAAAGAGAACGTCCAGGGGTTTTCACTTGACCCAAACAAATCTGTAACGTCAACAGTCTCATGATTTAAGCAATGAATTTGTTGTCATGGCAGGGGTGATTCTTGCCGGAAGTTCAAGAAAACAATGGACCTAAACTGATTATAAAAGGACTGGGTCTTCCCACCTCCAAAATGAAAGTGAGAGCAGGAAAATGCTCATACACAGGGAACACAGTTCTGAGAGCTCAGCCCTCAGCAAGAAAACCACCCTGCACTTCCACCTTAAAATCCAACACACCGCCAAACATTAATAGCAAAACACACTCCCGACCGTCCCTGCACCATTCCCGGATAACACAGCACGGAGATATTTCACAAAGTGTGTTTTTCCCGTCATACTCCCCCCAAAACTCCAGGGAGGCGGGGGGAGAGAACAGCCAGTTTGCCACGGGATGCTGTCGGACACTGCAAACAAAACCTCAGGCCGGGAGGCACTTTCCTGCTGATCCCTGCAGTATTTCCCTCCTGACTCGGGGCCTACTCGCAGCACAGAACCCAAGACCTTTAAAAAACACTCGCAGCCCCCGCCGGCCTCTCTTTGTAGCAGCGGCCGCTTTGGTGGGGGGATTTTGGGGAGTGGGAGCCTGCTCCTCCTCCCCATCACGCGTGGCCTGGCAGGGAAAGCTGCTCAGTGAAACGTTCCACCTGAGATTTATTCCCACCAGCCAAGTAAGAAAAAATAAATAAAATAAAATAAATCACATGAAAATCGTCCCCAGCTGTAAATAAAAAAAAAAAAAACCAAAAAAAACTGGGTTTAAATTCGCCTGGAAAAACAACAAAACCAAAGCACTTACCTGGGCAGGACCAGAAGCAAAACTGAAGAACGATTTATAATTAAAAGTTTACCCTTGGGGTCACCGCTACTTTGGGGGAGGGGGAAAAGGGACCCCCTGGAAAGGGCTGACCCTCGGAACCGGCCCACCGGGAGGTGGACGGCCCCCCTTTCCCGGCACCATCCCAGCAGGTGCAGCCCCCCTTTGCAGGGGGCCCCACACACAAACAGACACACAAAAAAGAGCCGGGAACCCCTCAACAACCCCCACCTCACACATCCCCCCGGCTCTGGGGGGCCCCGCGACCCCCAACCCTCCCCCGGTCTGGGGGGCCCGGCGACCCCTCACCCCCCACCGCCCCCAGGCCTGGGGGCTCCCCGCAGCCCTCACCCCCCCGGCTCCGCTCGCTGTGGGGAGGGGGTGTCACCCCCGAGCCCCCGGGGCAAAGGATACTGCTGGGGCGGCTGTGGCGGCAAGGCCCTGATGTTGGGGTGAGGCGCCGGCGCCGGGTGAGGGGGAGCCGGGGGGGGAGGCGGCCCCGCCGCCGCCCCGCTCCCGGGGCCGGTCCCCGCCGCCGCCGCCGCGCCGGGTTTCAAAGCCGCCTTCTGCGGTAAACTCATGGCCAAGCGCAGCCACCACCCCGCGGCGGGGAGCGGGGCCGGGGGGAGCCGCGGAGCGGGCCGGGGGAGAGCCGGGGCAGCGCGGCGGGCCGGCACCGGCGCCGGTCTCCGTGACAACGCGCCTCCCGGAGGGCTCGGGAGAGGGGCCGGCGGGGAGGG